CGAGCACTCTACTCATATATGATTCTAAATACATATTGGGTATATATATATATATATATATATATATATATATATATATATATATATATATATATATATATATATATATATATATATATATATATATATATATATATATATATATATATATATATATATATATATGCTCACTTGGATTATCCACCAAACCTAGCATAGTTCGACCAAGTGAAGTGCAATAATACATACAAAATTATCGTTTCGCAAACAAAGACAAAATAAAACGAAAAATCACATGAAAATATCTATAATTGCGCCGGAAGATATTTAAAAAAAATTACTATAATGTTATTGAAGTTCTTGAATCTGTCGTAATCCAGTCTATATATATGCTTTAATATGTCAAATTTGACGTCGTATACTCAAGCTTGTAACTTCCTTCAACTCATAAAATTATGTCAGTTATTCCGGTATTCTTCAGTATTTCAAAGATCTTGAAAAATATGGAAAATAGTATCAAAGTAGCGGAAACTTTAATTTTACATATTAAAAGCCGGTATTTGTCTTCCAGAAGCATGATTTTAGCATACACGCAAGAAGTCGTTTTAACATATATGATTATATGATTTACAAACATGGAGAAGACGAATATAACTTATCAAGCTAAATAATAAGTATTTCAAGAAGAATTCGCGCTTATTGGTTATGGGCTTTTATTGCCACTTTTCCAAACTGCTCGTGAACTACTGCACGCATGGTCTAACAGGTGGGTCTCAATGATCATTCTATTGTTTATATTGTCAGCTGGCACTTGACTAAAGAAATATGTTCGTTTTAAGAAAGAGGATTAGTTTCTGGAGTATAACCAACAGATGGCGGTCGTTCAAAGCTAGATTACATGCATGGGTTAAAGTATTTTAGCACCGTCTGTTTATTTCAAAACTTCAGAGAAGAAAACTCCTATTGATTTAAACAAGATTTCAAAAACTCATTAATAATTCATGAGGAAATAAGCGTGTCGTATCTTTATATGTGATAGAGATTTCCCTCGATTTACATAAACTTTCTCGACTTACACAGCGTATTTTTTGAAAATTACTTCGCCAATGAACTTACTAGATCGATCGTTTTTGAAGCAATTTAAAACATTCGCAGTGTGTGTTTTATCAGACCTAAAGATACTCGGCTTCACCTCGTATCTTTATATCTGATAAAACACTGCTGCTCATGTTTTAAATAGTACCTCTAAAGAAATATTTCCAAATACTTGTGAAATAGTTCCAATATTTTTTAATGACTTGTATAGTCGTGCTTTATCAAATACTTGTGCTGCACATTCAGGTTTATATCTGATAAAGCACACCTATATAATGTTTAGGAACGAACTTTCCCTAAGCCTCATGTTAATAGTAAAAAGTCTTACTGTGGTCTATATATTGAATACACTCCTATATACATACGCGTGCTTCAAATAGTAAATTAAATACTCAAGATATAGAAAATAGAATGTATACACAGTGGGATTCGAACCTACGACCTTTGGAATACTAGCCCAATGCTCTTCCAATTGAGCTACGCGGTCAGGACGGTTCGAGTAAGTGATATTTCGGAACAGAATCTAGTTCCTTCGATACCAATGTGATCTAGCTCGCCCGGTGTGGATATACACTCAGAGTAACATCACATCTATAAGCTCGCCCGGTGTGGATATACAGTCAAAGTAACATCACAAATATCATATTCACCTGAGTAACACAACACCAACACAGAAAAAATCATATTACTAGATTACATTGGTATCGAAGGAACTAGATTCTGTTCCGAAATATCACTTACTCGAACCGTCCTGACCGCGTAGCTCAGTTGGAAGAGCATTGGGCTGGTATTCCAAAGGTCGTAGGTTCGAATCCCACCGTGGCCGGGCATATTTTTCAAGCTCGCCCGGTGTGGATATACACTCAGAGTAACATCACAAATATCATTTTCACCTGAGTACACAACACCAACACAGAAAAAAAAGAATGTACACAGGTCTACACAGTTAAAAACGTGTTTGTAAATTTTGGTGAAATGGTTAATTTTTGCGTGTGAAACATGAAATGGCTGTTGTTCTTCATGTGAAACGTGATCAGAACCATCACTTCACAACCCTCTTTCAAAAGAACAGACACTGCATGACTTATTTCTTAGATGAATGCTACGCCTCACGTTCAGACCACACATGGGGGAATTGATATTGGATAACAACACTTACAATTACACAAACATTTCAGCAGGAGGAAACTTATACGAAAGGAAACACTTCTGTTGAAAACTAAGTCAAAGAGTATCACATGTGTCATAGCTCGTTATAGCATCTTTTGAATTTGGCCACAAGCACAATTTTCAGAAACTGCAAAAGAACAGATTTATAATCAAAGAAAAAACTGTTGAAAAACTTGCACAGATTCAAAAACCAGTCAGAATTTGGGTTTGAATTACTAGTCACAGTAAACTATGAAAAAGAATCCACTACCAGCGAATTAAGTTATGACTTATGTACAGTATCATCTATAAATTATACATTTCCTCTGCCTGACAAAGGAAGACAAAATTTTACTAATTTCTCTTGCAAATGTTCCTCCAAATTCAAGCGAAATTTAATCAATTTGTCCTTGGGCAATGTGCAATTAGTCCCACAAATTTTATCGTATAAATATTTTTGATATTATTGATATATTTTTGATAAGTTATCGCGCTGACAGACAAACATGCACTCGCAGATGAAAACATAAGCTTCTGGCGGAGATAATGAAATTAGAGCTGCTCCCGATTAATCGATTATTTTTCCACAATCGATTATGCTTAATAGTAATCCGATCATCTATAACACCACACAGCGTGATGCGGGATTGAGCTGACTTACGTTTATTCAAAACATTGTGGGTCAGACTCAAATATCAAATTCACTCGAAGCGTGCAAAGTTTACCATGGTCTGATCGGGTTTACCACTTTACCAGTGCTGCGAAAATATCTTTAAAGTTTTTTATTAGAATAATTTATTACCATTTGCGTCCAACATTACGGCGTGCGGGTTTTAAACCTTGTTTCACGTTTCAAAACGTTAGTTTCACCCAGTGAACTCTATATATATATATATATATCTGGAATGATAACAGCGAGCGAAAAGTGAAGCCGACAAAAAAATCACGACATAAATATTCGTCATTGTCTTCGTCAGCAACTGTTCAAGAACTTTCTTACAGTATTAAAAATCACTTACATATAAAATTTGTAATTGTTTTGAAAGTTTTTATCACAGTTTTTATATCTTTATTCACTTTTAACCTGAAGATGGAGTTATACTCCGAAACGTAGTTATTAAAATATTTTTTTACTGAGCCCATATGGTCTAATTTATATTCAAACACACGTACATATTCATTTACATTTTGCTGGCAGGCAAATTCCCATCACACAATAAATTCTTTAAAAAATAACGTACCAGTGTATTGACTAAAAACTATAAAACTGGTAAACTAAAAACAATTCAAACAATCGCGAAAAATGGCAACGGCAAAGTCACAGTTGCAAGTCAATTTACCTACCTGTGAAATGAAATTTTCTCGCAAGAATATCTCTTTCCTTGTGCATCCAGAACGACAGTACGACACAATATATTTGAAAAAGTGATTCTTTTCTCCACACGGGGAAGTTTTCCTCGACTTTTTTCCGACAGCGAACTCAATGCAGTAAATTTTAGGAGCAAAACCGTTTGCTCCTAAAATGTATTGCATTGAGTTGGCCATGTTTTTAATTTTTTTTTCGTGATTGCGTTCAAATTTATACTGGCCGTGCAACGGTTTGCAGAGGGGGAATGAAACTGACGTCCAATCCGCGTAAACCTGACGTTTGAGGGACTGAGACTGACGTCCAATCCGCGTGAAAGACTGGTATCGAGGCTTCATTTTTTTCGCAATCAAATGACTGAATGTTATCGTTCCAGATATATATATATATAGAGTTCACTGGTTTCACCACGTCAAATGTCATGTTTGAGCAATGAAATTGACATGTTTGGGCAGTAAAAACTGACTAACATGTTTGGTCATGTTTTGCTCATGCGAATGTAAGCAAGGTTATTAAGGGGAGGACCATTAGAAAAGTGATGGGGAGGGTGGGAAGAAAGAAAAAAACAATCACGAAGGGAAAACAGAAAGAAAAAAATCCATCTGGACTGATTGAGTGGGGAGGTCTGGGCCCTGCATCAAACCATTGTAGACATACAGTAGTTTGTCAAGATATGTTCTGGAAGCCAGGCAAACTTCAAACTACAAAATACCCCACCATGCACAAATCCTTTGTCTCAACTTCATTAAATATTATTCATTGTGGTTGCATATTTCAATTACAATTACTTAATTATACAAAACTACAAGAGTAAACTACAACATAAACTCATGCAGACAAAAACATAATACATCGACTTCAGTTTAGTTAATTTCCACAATGACCTCAGTTTAGTTTCCAGACATCATATCTTGATAGACTTAGTATGCTCAAATTACACAAAAGTACTTGAAAAACAAAAACACAATTATTGTTCACAACTCTGCACAGCTGCGCTCATTAACAAAGGTGATAATTAAGTACTAAAAGTTATTTTAGTAAAACAAAACAATCTATAAGGTCAAGGTTGAATGGTAAGTTTTACATATATCGCACATTAGTTCTCACAAATCTTGATTTCAATATTGTTCTAAATACGGTTCAATCATACTGTATAAACAAAGCTAAGCGTTCCCAAGCCTTCTCAGAAGATGAGGTAATAGTGCGATACAGGGAGGATACAAATTGTTATTTAAAACTGTACTTAATACAGTATTTTTGTTTAATGTATTATATTTTGTTCCTTAATTTGTCATTACGAGAGTCTTTTGTGTCTTGAGCAGAATTCTTTTGTGTCTCGAGTGAAATTATAATGTCTGAAGCAAAATTCTAACTGGCATCTTAGGCTTTCTTGCTCTCTGATTTCACCCATTGAGCTACACATATGTCAAAAGAACATTTCTTTGTAGTGTTTCCATTCTCTGAGGATGAGATACTGTAGGCTGCAACTGGCATGTATGTATAGCGTTACTGTCACATGTTTGAAGATGTTTCGTGTTGCCCACCAGCAACGCCGGAAAGTCGATAATTGGGGGGGGGGGGGGGGGGGGGGGGGGGGGGGGG